CAACATCATGTCTCAAAACAAACAAACAGTGAAGGTGAAGCTGTTGGATTGGGTTTGGCACAGTAAATAGCAAGACTTCTATTTCTTGCTAAATTGGCACCTTCATTTAAATCCTTGTGGCAAAACATTTTTAACATATGTTCCAATTAAAAGACAAAGTATTCCTCACAGTACCTTTTCTCTCTCAAATATAGGAAAAAACAACCCCTGAACTTTACTACTTGTCTGTGCTGCTGTCGGTGAGCAGCTTAGCTTCTACAGGTAAGCAAGAAAACTTTCCAAGTAACCTATCCTTGTCAAAGGCTTACCAGTCCTTTGAGGCAATAACTACTCAACTGGCACTGTGACTGTGATGCTGCAAGGGGAATATTAAGCTTTAGTTCCTTTTTTTTTTTGAAACGGAGTCTCACTCTGTTGCTTAGGCTGGAGTGCAGTGGCGTGATCCTGGCTCACTGCAACCTCCTCCTGGATTAAAGCGATTCTTCTGCCTCAGACTCCCCAGTAGCTGGAATTAAAGGTGTGTGCCACTACGCCTGGATAATTTTGGTATTTTTAGTAGAGATGGGGTTATACCATGTTGGCCAGGCTAGTGTTGAACCCCTGACCTCAAGTGATCCACCCGTCTCAGCCTCCCAAAGTGCTGGGATTATACACGTGAGCCACTGTGCCCAGCCGCCCTAGTTCCTCTTAAAGCAAGAGATCCAAGAAGCTAAAAAGCATGAAAAGCAAAGCAAAGCAAATGGGGAGAGGAGGGTTAGGATGGGATATGAAAAACATCCTTCTCATGTTACTCCCACTGCATTTAATTAGATCCTATCTATTCTTCATCCTGTAGTGCTTTTCTCAGGCCTGAGGCTGATCTGGTGGGCCAGGGTGACCTGTCGAAGGCCAGATGCTAACCCAACAGTTTGAACCATCTGGGTCCTGTGTTTCCTGTCTGAGATACACATCTCTACCTGGCTGGGCCTGTCCCAGCAGCCCTGCCACCTATCGGCAATCGCACAACCATCTCCTATCCTGCTATTTCAGCTGAACAGCAGAGCCAATAATAGGAAACATGTCAAAATCAGGCATTTAGTAGAAAACTGCGTTATGCCAGGCACGGTGGCTCATGCCTATAATCTCAGCACTTTGGGAGGCGAAGGCGGGTGGATCACTTGAGGTCCAGAGTTCGAGATCAGCCTGACCAACGTGTCGAAACCCTGTCTCTACTAAAAATACAAAAATTAGCCGGGTGTGGTTGCAGGCACCTGTAATCCCAGCTACTTGGGAGGCTGAGGCAGGAGAATCACTTGAACCCGGGAGGCGGCAGTTGAAGTGAGCCGAGATTGCGTCACCACTCTCCAGACTGGATGACAGAGCAAGACTCTGTTTCAAAAGAAAAAAAAAAAGAAACCTGCATTTAAGTATTAATGAGCACTCACTGACAATGGATAAAAAGAAACAGTTCCGCTGAAATCACAGGACTGACATCATAACCCAATTCATTCCAAATAAAGATCTCCTATCAAATACTTTCACAATGATTATTTTGACTTTCTAAACCTCATGTTTTGTTCAATGAAGTTAAGTGGCATCAGCTGGGAGACTGCTATAGAAATAAGTGCTGAAAAAGAGGAAGGAAAATAGAAGTCTTAGTAACAAACAGAGGTTTAGTTTCAAAAGACCCTAGTAATTCAGATTGTGTATTTGAACAAGGTCAATTTACTGCTTCTTTAAGAATGCAGTGGGGCCGGATGTGGTAGCTCATGCCTGTAATCTCAGCACTTTGGGAGGCCAAGGTGGGCAATCACCTGAGGTCAGGAGTTTTTTTTGTTTTTTTTATTTTCTTTTTGAGACGGAGTCTCGCTCTGTCGCCCAGGCTGGAGTGCAGTGGCTGCATCTCAGCTCACTGCAAGCTCCCGCCTCCCGGGTTTACGTCATTCTCCTGCCTCAGCCTCCCGAGTAGCTGGGACTACAGGTGCCCGCCACCATGCCCGGCTAGTTTTTTGTATTTTTTTAGTAAAGAAGGGGTTTCACCGTGTTAGCCAGGATGGTCTCAATCTCCTGACCTTGTGATCCGCCTGTCTCGGCCTCCCAAAGTGCTGGGATTACAGGCTTGAGCCACCGCGCCCAGCCAAGGTCAGGAGTTTGAGACTAGCCTTGCCAACATGGTGAAACCCCGTCTCCACTTTAAAAAAATATATATATACACACACACACACACACATATACATGTATACACATATATATAGACACATACATATATATATACACACACGCACACACACAAAAGTTAGCTGGGCGTCTTGGTGTGTACCTGTAATCCCAGCTACTCGGGAGGCTGAGACAGGAGAATCGCTTGAACCCAGGAGGTGGAGGTTGCAGTGAGCAAAGATTGCGCCACTGCACTCCAGCCTGGGTGACACAGTAAGAGTCCATCTCAAAAAAAAAAAAAAAAAAAAAAAGGCAGTGGAAGATTTTAGAGTAAAAATAATCACAACCTCCCCCTTATAGATTATAACAACCTGCATCATGACAGCTAACTGTTTTCCAGAGAAAATAGCTAAAGTGACCTGCATTGTGTTTTGTCTTTGTTTTTTTTTCTTTTTTGAGACAGAGCCCTGGTCTGTCGCCCAGGCTGGAGTGCAGTGGTGTGATCTTGGTTCACTGCAGGCTGGTCTCAAACACCTGATGTCAGGTGATCCACCTGCCTCAGCCTCCCAAAGTGCTGGGATTACAGGCCTGAGCCACCATGGCCAGCCGTGTTTTGTCTTTTTACTTCTGTGTATATTTAACAATTCTGGGCCAGGCACAGTGGTTGACGCCTGTAATCCCAGCATTTTGGAAGGTCAGGCAGGTGAATCACCTGAGGTCAGGAGTTCGAGACCAGCGTGGCCAACATGGTGAAACCCCGTCTCTACTAAAAATACAAAAAAATGAGCCAGGTTTGTGACGGGTGCCTGTAATCCCAGCTACTTGGGAGGCTGAGGCAGGAGAATCACATGAACCCAGGAGGCGGAGGTTGCAGTGAGCATTGCACTTCAGCCTGGGCAACGAGAGTAAAACTCTGTTTCAAAAAGAAAAAAAAATTCTGAAGTATTTTTGGTAGGGACTAGTTACTCACAAATGGTCTCAATGTCATTAAGGACTGGATACAACTTTATTTTGAGACAGGGTCTCGCTCTATCACCCAGGCTGGAACGTAATGGCATAATCACTGCAACCGCCACCTCCCGGGCTCAAGCAATCCTCCCGCCTCAGCCCCCACCCCAAGTAGCTGGGACTACAGGTATGCCCCACCAGACCTGGCTACTCTTTTGTATTTTTTTGTAGAGATAAGGTTTCACTATATTGCCCACACTGGTCTCGAACTCCTGGGCTCAAGCAATCCGCCCGCCTTGACCTCCCAAAGTGTTGGGATTACGGGCATGAGCCAGCTCGCCTGGCCGACAACTCCATTTCTTGAGAAAAAGAACAGAACCAATGGGCAAGAAGAACATATTCAGTATAAAATCTCCCAAAGCATCTCTGACAGGCGTAGCACCTGAACAAATGGAAATGACTGTTCATCTGTTTTCTTCTGGACAGGAGGTTACCTAATATATATCCACTATCCTTTGAAACCACCACCATTTTCTGAGCACCTTCCACATCCCAGACACAGCACTAAGGTAGGAATTAGAAACGTGAGCAATCACACAATAAGAACGAAATTCCTTTGAAGTAATTATATTACCATGATTAACATAAATTATTTAGAAACAACACATTCCCTAGACCTCATCAATCACTACAGGGCTTTGAGCAGAGGAGTGACATTATCTGACTTTTTTCTTTTTTTTTTGAGACAGAGTCTCACTCTGTCACCCAGGCTGGAGTGCAGTGGCGCGATCTCGGCTCACTGCAAACTCTGCCTCTCGGGTTCACGCCATTCTCCGGCCTCAGCCTCTCAAAGTAGCTGGGACTACAGGCGCCCACCATTATGGCCAGCTAATTTTTGTAGTTTTAGTAGAGACGGGGTTTCACTGTGTTAGCCAGGATGGTCTCAATCTCCTGACCTCATGATCTGCCCACCTTGGTCTCCCAAAGTGCTGGGATTACAGGTGTGAGCCACCGCACCTGGCCCCCATCTGACATATTTTTTAGACAGTGTCTCACTCTGTCACCCAGGCTGGAGTGCAGTGGCACCATCTCGGCTCACTGCAACCTCCACCTCCCGGGTTCAAGCAATTCTCCCCTCTCAGCCTCCTGAGTAGATGGAATCACAGGCACGCGCCACCATACCCAGCTAATTTTTGTATTTTTAGTACAGACAGGGTTTTGCCATGTTGGCCAGGATGGTCTCAAACTCCAAACCCCAAGTGATCTGCCCACCTCGGCCTCCCAAAGTACTGGGAATCCAGGCGTGAGCCACTGTACCTGGCGAGAATGTTCTAAGCAAAGGTAATAGTGCAAGAGTCCCAAGGCAGATGCATGCCTGTCATGCTGCAGGAAGAGATGAAGCCCAGCATGGCTGGAACATAATAACTAAGGGAGGAGGAATAGCAGACACAGAGAGGTAAAAGGAAGACACTGCAGGGCTTTGAGCAGAGGAGTGACATGATCTGACATATTTTTAAGGATCTCTCTGGCACTTGAAGCTGAAAACAGAATGTAGGGAGAGGCAAGGGTGCAAGTGAAGACACAAGATGGGAGGCTACTGCAATAATCCAGGTGACAGGTTATGCTGACCCATCCCTGATGGTGGCAGCAAAGTGGTAAGACGTCATTCGATTCTGGGTGTGTCTGGAACATACAGCCAATGTGATTTGCAATGGATGGGATGTGGGCAGTGAAAGAAAGAAGAGTCAAGGATGACTCTAGAAGTTTTTGGCCTAAGCAGCTAAAAGAACAGCACTACCTTTAACTGAGAAGAGAATCATAGCGAAGCATGATGGCGTGTGCCTGTAATCCTAGCTACTTGGGACCTTGAGAGCTTGTTTGAAGGTTCTAGCAGGGGAACGCAACTACTTACATACCCTTGACTGAAGACTAGTCCTCCTCTATTGGGGATGGTTGTTCTCTTCGACTGAGTGTGCAGCTTCCGGAGGGACATACATGGAGCAGTGAGGGAGGAAGGAGACACTGGCCTAGCCAGCCAGATCAGCCGGATCAACCCTGGTGATCAATGGGGTGAGGGACGTCACAGCCAGATTGCCCTCACATCCTACTTGGGAGGCTGAGGTGGGAGGATCACCTGATCACGCCACTGCACTCTGGCCTGGGCAACACAGCAAGACCCTGTCTCCAAAAAAAGAGAAGAGAAAGATGTCCATGAAGTAGGCTTGAGGGGACTATCAGGAGTTCAGTTTACAGAGAAGTGAAGTTTGAGACATCTATTAGATATCCAAGTGGTAACACTAAGTAGGCAAATGGAGAACAAAGCCAAGTTCAGGGGAGAGGTGCAGACACACAACAGCCTAGAGATTTGGATATATCTGCATTTAGATGGTGTATTTGTCTGCTTAGGCTGTCATACTAAAATACCACAGACTGGGTGACTTCAACAACAGAAATTGACTTTCTCACCGTTCTGGAGGCTAGAAGCCCAAGATCAAGGTTTTGGCCAATTTGGTCTGTGGTGGCAGCTCTGTTCCTGTCTTGTACATGGCTGCCTTCTTGCTATGTCCTCACATAATCTTTCTTCAGTATGTTAAGGGTAAGGGGCAAACTCTCCACTCACGCTTCTGATAAGGACACTAGTCCTATCGGATCAGGGCCCCACACTTATGACCTTATTTAACCTTAATTACTTTCTTACTCCAAATACAACCACACCTAGAGTGACATCTTTGATTCTAAAAGTTCGTGTTCTTACCCGTTATGCAAGATTTGCAATGGTATGAACTATTTAAGGCAGACATTTAAAAGAGGCCCAAGTGTTCAAGGAGTCTTTGGCTCATGGTACTTCTTGTTGGCCACTCAAGTTTCATCTACCCCAGCATTTTCCCTACCTAGTTGGAGCAACTTGCGTGCTCTGGGCTCCCATCCCAAGTCCAGGCTGAAGTGTCCTCAACTCCTCCAGCTGCCAGGGAGCATTTATCTGGTTTCCCAGTGACTCCCAGTCTGGATGTTACTTTCCCCAGCGCTGTCTCCCATGGTTTCCTGCCTAACATATTATTTCTCTTTCTCCAGTTTCTTCTCTGCCTTCTGTCTGAAGGCTTATATTCTATTGTTGTTTCAGAATGAATTTCTCTTATGCATTAGAAATATGTTTTCATGGCCGGGCGCGGTGGCTCAAGCCTGTAATCCCAGCACTTTGGGAGGCCGAGACGGGCGGATCATGAGGTCAGGAGATCGAGACCATCCTGGATAACACGGTGAAACCCCGTCTCTACTAAAAAAATTACAAAAAACTAGCCGGGCGTGGTGGTGGGTGCCTGTAGTCCAGCTACTCGGGAGGCTGAGGCAGGAGAATGACGTAAACCCAGGAGGCGGAGCTTGCAGTGAGCTGAGATCCGGCCACTGCACTCCAGCCTGGGCGACAGAGCGAGACTCCATCTCAAAAAACAAAAAACAAAACGAAGAAATATGTTTTCATTATCCATTAACTCTAAACAAGAACCTAAAGGTACATTAAAAAACCCTTAGCATAGAACTGCTGATTGACTAAGTCACAGAGAAGAACAGGCAAATACCTCCATTGCTTCAAAGACTGCACACGCTAAAACTACACAAATGCTAGAACAGAACATTGGATTATCATTATCAAAATTAGGGGAAGGCCGGGTGGGGTGGCTCATGCCTGCAATTCCAGCACTTTGGGGGGCCAAAGTGGGAAGATTACTGGAGCCCAGGAGTTTGAAACCAGCCCGGGCAACATGACAAAACCTCATCTCTACAAAAAATACAAAAACTAGCCGGATGTGGTGGCATGCACCTGAAGTCCCAGCTACTAGGGAGGCTAAGGTGCAAGGATCACCTGAGCCTGAGAGATTAAGGCTGCAGTGAGCCGTGATCATGTTACTGTACTCCAGTCTAGGTGACAGGGCAAGACTGTATCAAAAACAAAAACAAAAATAACCAGGGAAAGTACACTGTGAACAAGTGTTTATTCAGCAAATTTTTCAAATGATTTTTGTTTGTTTGTTTTGAGACGTAGTCTCGCCCTGTAGCCCAGGGTGAAGTGCAATGGCATGATCTCCGCTCACTGTAACCTCCACCTGCCGGGTTCAAGCAATTCTCCTGCCTCAGCCTCCCGAGTAGCTGGGACTACAGGCACACGCCACCATGCACGGCTAATTTTTTCTATTTTTAGTAGAGACATGGTTTCACCATGCTGGCCAGGCTGGTCTCAAACTCCTGACCTCATGATCTGCCCACCTCGGCTTCCCAAAGTCCTGGGATTACAGGTGTGAGCCACCACGCCCAGCTCAAATAATTTTTTTAAAGTATATTTTCCCGTTTTGTTTTGTACAGCACTGAGTCTGTCACTGTGAATTCCATTTTACCAAAAACATTGACACTTCCACACATATTTATGAATCAAAATTGAAAGATAATTGCATTAACAGGTACTTTTTTTTTCTTTTGTTTTGGTTTTTTTGTTTGTTTTTTGAGACCAAGTCTCGCTCTGTCGCCCAGGCTGGAGTGCAGTGGCACAATCTCCACTCACTGCAAGCTCCGCCGCCTCCTGGGTTAACGCCATTCTCCTGCCTCAGCCTCCCCAGAAGCTGGGACTACAGGCGCCTGCCACTACGCCCGGCCAATTTTTTTGTATTTTCAGTAGAGACGGGGTCTCACCGTGTTCGCCAGGATGGTCTCGATCTCCTGACCTCGTGATCTGCCCGCCTTGGCCTCCCAAAGTGCTGGGATTACAGGCGTGAGCCACCGCGCCTGGCCTTGTTTTGTTTTTTTAAGACGGAGTTGCTCTGCCACCCAGGCTGCAGTGCAGTGTCGCGATCTTGGCTCACTGCAACCTTCACCTCCTGAGTTCAAGCGATTCTCATGCCTCAGCCTCCTGAGTAGCTGGGATTACAGGCATGCACCACCAGGCCCGGTTAATTTTGTATTTTTAGGATAGATGGGGTTTCACCATGTTGGCCGGGCTGGTCTTGAATTCCTGACCTTAAGTGATCTGCCTGCCTCAGCCTCCCAAAGTGCTGGGATTATAGGCATGAGCCACCGTGCCTGGCCAACTTTTACAGAGAAAATTCTTTGAATCTGAAGTGTCTTGCAAGGTAGAGGCAATTGCAACCATTCCAACTAGTGTGTCAACAGTCTTCTCTTAAGGTGGGCTAGAAAAATGGTTTCATATTCAAATTATAACTCTGAAAAACAATTGATGGTAATAAAGAGATTCCACAATCAGACAGAACTGAGAGAAACAATTAGTTCTGGTAGAGTTCTGTGGTAATCAAAGTTACGTTTGTCCTGGGTAGCTGAAATATAACTAACTTCAAAGATTCCAGTGGGCTAGAAAAATGGTTTCATATTCAAATTATAACTCTGCAAAACAATTGATGGTAATAAAGAGATTCCACAATCAGAACTAAGAGAAACAATTAGTTCTGGTAAAGCTCTGTGGCAATCAAAGTTAGAAGTTTATCCTGGGCAGCTGAAATATAACTAACTTCAAAGACCAGGCCTGGCGGTAGCTTGTGCCAATCACCACAACACTTTGAGGGGCCAAGGCCGGAGGATCGCTTGAGCCCGGGAGTTCAAGGGTGCAGTGAGCTATGATCACACCACTGCACTCCAGCCTGGGCAACACAGCTCTTGTCTTTTAACAAGAGATTGTTACTTAAAAAAAAAAAAAAAAAAAAAAAAAAAAAGGCCGGGCGCGGGGGCTCAAGCCTGTAATCCCAGCACTTTGGGAGGCCGAGACGGGCGGATCACAAGGTCAGGAGATCGAGACCATCCTGGCTAACACGGTGAAACCCCGTCTCTACTAAAAAACACAAAAAACTAGCCGGGCGAGGTGGCGGGCACCGGTAGTCCCAGCTACTCGGGAGGCTGAGGCAGGAGAATGGCATACGCCTGGGAGGCTGAGCTTGCAGTGAGCCGAGGTCTGGCCACTGCACTCCAGCCTGGCCGACAGAGCCAGACTCCAACTCAAAAAAAAAAAAAAAAGACTGTCCCTATCGAACAATTCTACCATGAACACTGACGTTGTTCTGTGGACTACTTCAGGAAGATGGACTGAGAACATCATTAAATGGTTCCAACTAGTTTCTGGGTAACTTTATTTTTGATTTTTTGTTATGGGGGTCTCGCTATGTTACCCAGGCTGGGCTCAAATGATCCTCTCACCTCGGCCTCTCAAAGTGCTGGGTTTACAGGTGTGAGCCACTGCGACAGCCAAGGGTAACCTTTTTTATTTATGTTTTTTTGAGACGGAGTCTCGCACTGTCACCCCTGCTGGAGTGCAACGGCGCGATCTCGGCTCACTGCAACCTCCGCCTCCAGGGTTCAAGCCATTCTCCTGCCTCAGCCCCCGCAGTAGCTGGGATTACAGGCTCCTGCTACCGCGTACGGCTAATTTTTTGTATTTTTAGTAGAGACGGGGTTTCACTATGTTGGCCAGACTGGGCTCAAAGTCCTGACCTCGTGATCCGCCTGCTTCGGCCTCCCAAAGTGCTGGGATTACAAGCGTGAGACACCGCGCCCGGCCAAGGGTAACTTTTTAAGAGCTGCCCAACAGTTCATTACCTCCTTCTCAAGGAGCATGAGTGTCAAACCACCTCCAGCAAAATAGATGTAGTCTTTTACAGATTTGGAAAGAAGGATTTAGGAAGAAAGGGAAGTCATTCGGAATGATTTCTTCCTCTGACGCCCAGCCGTCCCCCGTTAAGTCTAAAGGTGCTAGACCTCAAGACTCTTCTAGAAAGAGATTTTTCCTCTCCAAGGTGAATACATCTGTTCCGAAGGTCAGAAGCTATTTTACCAAAGTTTTCCGTTCCACCGAAAAAATTAAGGGTCAATTAATGCTTCTTGTCCCAAACCTGAATATGAGCCTGCCTCGGATCATATTCGACCCTAAAGACTCCACCATCTTGGACGCCCCTATATCTAGGACAAAAAAGGACCAGCTTCTCAGGGGCTCCTTGCAGGGAGCTTACCGCGCCCTCACTGTCCGCCGGCCCGAGTGCTACCGTAGATCACCCGCGGCCCGGACGCCAGCAAGTGGAACATCTGGGTCGCACTCTCATTGGTTCCAGGGGGCCGGAAGTGCGTGCGTGCGGCGGAAGTGATCCTCCGGCGCGGTCCTCCAGGCCAGGGCCCTCAGGTAGGCGGGGCCCCTGGCCCTAAACTCTGGGTCTGGCGGGCGGGCAGGTGGCACAGGGGGGATCCCGGGGGCCTAAGGAGGTTGTCCCAGTTTTCGTCAGGGAGAGCCGGAAATATTTTTGGGGACCGTGGGTTTACGGCTACCTCTGGTGGTAACCGGGGCCTGGTGGAGCCCGGCCGCCGCGGGACCTACGTGTCGGACTTCAAGTTCCCGCGTGGGGTGGGATCTGCTGCGGTGGCCGGAGCTGATTCTTCACCCAGTCCGGTTGGTTCTGGGCCAAAGGCTCCTCACTTTCAGCCAGGAAGAGGCGTGCTCTCCGTCCTTACCTTTTCCATGCCTGTGGGTTTGACGCCTTCCCTCAAGGCGTATCCGGATGCGGGTTTTTCCTCCAAGATCCTCTCGGCCTCGCTAGGAAAACCTCAGAAAGGCTGCGGTAGACGCAGTCGAGGGAGAAACTGCCCCCGCCCGTGATGTCTCAGGCTGCTCAAGTGGAAGTTATCTGGACTGCCTTAGGGCAAGTTTATATATAGCAAATACAATTACTTGTTAATGGTTTCCTTTTTTCCAGCCATCTCCACCCCCAGGTGGTTTGAACTTTGAGCCTTTTGTAGTCCTGATGAATAATTTCATTTTCCTCAAGTTTATGACACTCGGAACGTCAAGAACTGGAGGTTTGTGCAATTTGAGACCGGTCAGCACTGTGCAGAGATCAGAGTACTAAGAGACAGGTGAGCAAGAATGAGTGCCCTCCACTCCAGATTGTAGTGTCTGAGAGCGGTTTCTGTAGTTTCGTAAAAGTGCACACCTTTAGTGACTACTAGGTGGCGCCAACGAGTTAATCTTTCGGGGATAAATCTCAAAGTAGCACCAGATAAGGCTTTTAAAATGCACCCATTTTTACTGAAATGTATTCAGAATAGCTTTAGCTCCTTAAACTATGTTGAGCGTTTATATACGTGACCAAACTATCGACGTTCTGTTCTGTATCAGGTACTGAGAAATCTAAGAGAGGAATCAGACTCATATTCTGTTCTCCAGAGTTTAGTCAGTACAAAAATTAGCTGAGCGTGGTGGCAGGCACCTGTAATCCCAGCTACTCGGGAGGCCAAGGCAGGAGAATCGCTTGAACCCGGGAGGCAGAGGTTGCAGTGAGCCAAGATCACGCCACTGCACTCTAGCCTGGGTGACAGAGCGAGACGATGCCTCAAAAAAAATTTTTTTTTTAAAGGATTTTTTTTTTTTTGTGAGACCGCAGTCTTGCTCTGTCGCCCAGTGGAGTGCAGTGGCACCATTTCTGCTCACTGCAAGCTCCGCCTCCCAGGTTCACACCATTCTCCTGTCTCAGCCTCCCGAGTAGCTGGGACTACAGGCGCCCGCCACCACAGCCGGCTAATTTTTTGTATTTTTAGTAGAGACAGGGTTTCACTGTGTTAGCCAGAATGGTCTCAATCTCCTGACTTTGAGATCCGCCTGCCTCAGCCTCCCAAAGTGCTAGGATTACAGGCGTGAGCCACTGCACTCGGCCCAATAAAAAGATTTGAATGCTAAAGAAGAAGCAATCAATTCTCATTATTCATCCACCAGTTATTTATTCAGCACTTTTTGTCTGCCCAAGACTGTGCTGGATGCTGGTGTATAAAGAAAAGGTAAAGGCCGGACGCAGTGGCTGATACCCGTAATCCCAGCACTTTGGGAGGCTGAGGCGGGCAGATCTCCTGAGGTTAGGAGTTTGAGACCAGCCTGGCCAACATGGTGAAACCTTATCTCTACTAAAAGTACAAAAATTAGCTGAGCGTGGTGGTGGGCATCTACATTCCCAGCTACTCGGGAGGCCGAGGCAGGAGAATCGCTTGAACCCAGGAGGCAGAGACTGCAGTGAGCCGAGATCACACCACTGCAATCCAGCCTAGGTGACAGAGTGAGGTGCCATCTCAAAACAAAAAAAAAAAAGAAAAAAGAAAAGGTAAAATCCCTACTCAAATAATTCACAACCTAGTGATTGGGAGGAAATCAAGGAAGGCCTTGTAGAGAAGGTGACACTTGAACTAGACTGAAGAATGAATGAACTGGGCTTCATAGGTAGAAAAAAAAAATGCAAGCTCAAAAGAGTGCATGACATTTTTGAAACAGCAAGTCATCCAGTGTGGTTAGACTGTAGGAAACTAACTCTGAAAAGACATTGTCAGTTACATCTTGGGTCTGCCTCAACTTTTAGTGGAAAATTCCACAGACTTAAGAGAAAAATTAAAATGAATAATTTCCAGGAAAAATGCACTAAACCATTATACATGAAATGTAGCTATAATAAATTACACTTCTGGGTATAATGTTTGTTTATATTTGCATATCATTGATGATCATAGATGACTTATGCCAGTTTTAATGGATTAGGCAGTAATTTTTTTGTCATTATATTTTATTTTGAATATATTGTAAGAATCCTCTCCATTGAAGTACACATGTGAAATCATCTGGTAATGATTTCATTATGTGTAGGAAAACAAAACATGCTTTAATGCCAGGCGCGGTGGCTCCCGCCTGTGATCCCAGCACTTTGGGAGGCCGAGGCTGGCTGATCATGAGGTCAGGAGATAGAGACCATCCTGGCTAACATGGTGAAACCCCGTCTCTACTAAAAATACAAAAAATTAGCCAGGCGTGGTGGCGGGTGCCTGTAGTCCCAGCTACTCGGGAGGCTGAGGCAGGAGAATGGCGTGAACCCAGGAGGTGGAGCTTGCAGTGAGCCGAGATAGCGCCACAGGACTCCAGCCTGGGCAACACAAAGCGAGACTCCGTCCCAAAAAAAAAAAAAAAAAAAAACACATGCTTTAATAAGTTGCCTGGAAAGTTCTGTGGGGTTTTTTTTGTTTTTTGTTTTCTGTTTTTTTGAGACGGAATCTTGCCCTGTCACCTAGGCTGGAGTGCAGTGTCACAGTCTCAGCTCACTGCAACCTCTGCTTCCCAGGCTTAGATGATTCTCCCACCTCAGCCTGCCGAGTAGTGGGACTACAAGCACACACCAGCATGCCTAGCTAATTTTTTAATTTATTGTAAAGATGGGGTTTCACTGCATTGGCCAGGCTGATTGGTAACTCCTGGCCTCAAGTGATCTGCCCGCCTCAGCCTCCCAAACTGCTGGAATTACAGGTGTGAGACACCATGGCTGGCCCCAGTCAATAGGATATTTAATGAAACTTGACAAACTGATTCTTAAATTCATCTAGAAGAGAAAGTGTATAAGAATAGCCAAGAATTTTGGGGAGGAGAAAACAATAAAGGCAAGTCATTATCAGTTATCAAGATACACCAGTGATAAAGCCATAATAATGTAAATAACAAGAAGTGTTGACTTAGATCTGGACACAGTGGCTCATGTCTGTAATCCCAGCACTTTGAGAGGTCAAGGCAGACAGATTACGTGAGGCCAGGAGTTTGAGACCAGCCCGGCCAACATGGTGAAACCTGTGTCTACTAAAACTACCAAAAAAAAGAAAGGCAGGTGTGGGTGGTATGGTGGCACACCTGTAATGCTAGCTACTCAGGAGGCTGAGGCAGGAGAATCACTTGAGCCCAGGATGCAGAGGTTACGGTGAGCTGAGATCGCACCACTGCACTCCAGCCTAGGCGAGAGAGTGATACGCTATCCAAAAAAAAAAAGAGCCAGGTGGAGTGCCTCATGCCTGTAATCCCAGCACTTTGGGAGGCTGAGACGACTGGATCACTTGAGGTCGGGAGTTCGAGACCGACCTGGCCAATATGGCAAAACCACATTTCTACTAAAAATACAAAAAATTAGCCGGACGTGGTGGCACGCACCTGTAGTCCCAGCTACTCGAGAGGCTGAGGCAGGAGAATTGCTTAAATCCAGGAGGTGGAGGTTGCAGTGAGCCAAAATTGCGTCACCACACTCCAGCCTGGGCAACAGAGTGAGACTCAGTCTAAAAAAATAAAAGAAGTGATTTCTTAGGAACAGAAAATTATCGATGATTATCCAATTGCCCTAACACCCTTTACTTGTCAGTCTTTTATTTATTAATCAGTATGCCACCTTTATTGTAGACCAAATTGCCCTGGATCAATAAATAAAAGACTGATTAGTAAAGGGTGTTTTTGAAAGGAAAGTTAGACTCCTACTTCAAAGCGTAACAAAAAATTGCAGGTGGCTTTTTTCTGCAGCTAGAAAAAAAATTGTAAAAGTATTGAACATAAAGATGTAGAAATCATGAGATGGTTAGGGCCTGCCTTCATGGGACACAAAACAAAGAAGGTTTAAAGGAGAAGATAGATTTGTCTATTAAAAAATAATAATTTGCCATGACAAAAAAAATAAATAAAATTTAGTCAGGAGACGAAATAATATTTGCAATTACAAAGGCTTCATTGCTTGATCTTAGGAGGTCAAAGCTGTAGTGAGCCGTGATCATGCCACTGCACTCCAGCCTGGGTGACAGAGCAAGACCCTGTCTCAGAAAAGCCACAGGCTTCGTATCCATGTTATAAATCAGTAAGAGAAAGATAACCCAGCAGAAAGATGGTCACATTTCCAAAGAAGAAATTCATATTAAAAGATGTTCATCAGCTAGGCTTGGGGACCTACACCTCTAATCCCAGCATTCAGGAGGCTGAGGTGGGCGCATCCCTTGAGTCCAGTTCAAGACCAGCTTGGGCAACATAGGGAGACCCCATCTCCACAAAAAAAATAAATTAGCCAGGTGTGGTGGTGTGTACCTGTGGTTCCAGCTACTCAGGAGGCAGAGGTGGGAAGATGGCTTGAGCTCGAGAGGTTGAGGCTATAGTGAGCTGTGATTGTGCCACTGTGCTCCAGCCTGGGCGACAGAGTGAGACCCTATCTCAAAAAAACTAAAAAAAAGGATGTTCATGCTCACAAGTAATTAGGTAAATATACATAAGACCAATAAGATAATATCAGGAGTGTTTTGGGCTATGGTGATTCATTTTATAAAGCAAAGCCACATTTGATCTACTTCTTTATATATCTGTATTTCCATTTATCAAATTTGTTTAGAGTAAGATAGACCAGTAATGAAGACTTCGAATTAATGTGTCAAATCACATAAAGAAGATTTTCAGGCATTTTTGTGGGATGTTATTACTATATGAGTTTAAACTTTTATATCTAAAGTAAGATTTTCTTTGTATAACTATCTTTCATACACCTGTAGCTAAGAAAGAGTATAACCTTTCTTTTTTTTTTTTTTTTTTTTTTTTTTTTGAGTCAGGGTCTCGCTCTGTCAACCAGGCCAGAGTACAGTGGTAAGATCATGGCTTACTGCAACCTCAGATTCCTGGGCTCAAGCAATCCTCCCACCTAAGACCTAAGCCTCCTGAGGAGCTGGGACTAAAGGCATCCGCCACCATGCCTAGCTAAGATTTTCTATTCTTTGTAGAGATGAAGTCTTACTATATTGGCCAGGCTGGTCGCGAGCTCCTGAGCTCAAGCAGTCCTCCTACTCCTACCTCAGGCTCCCAGAGTGCTGAGGTTACAGACATGCATGAGCCACTACACCCAGCTGCCTTTTTTTTTTTTTTTCTGAGATGTAGTCTCATTCTGTCGCCCAGGCTGGAGTGTAGTGGCATGATCTCTGCTCACTGCAATCTCTGCCTCCCAGGTTCAAACGATTCTCCTGCCTCAGCCTCCCAAGCAGCTGGGACTACAGGCATGTGCCACCATGCCCAGCTAATTTTTTTTTTTTCTTTAGAGATGGGGTTTCACCATGTTGGTCAGGCTGGTCTTGAAGTCCTGATCTCAGGTGATCCACCTGCCTTGGCCTCCAAAAGTGCTGGGATTACAGGCGTGAGCCACTGCATCCAGCCTTTTTTGTTTTTTTAGTAGAGACGGGTTTTCACCGTGTTAGCCAGGATGGTCTCTATCTCCTGACCTCATGATCCACCCACCTTGGCCTCCCAAAGTGCTGGGATTACAGGCCTGAGCCACCAGCGCCCAGCTGCAGCTGCCTATTTTTAATTACACTGGCGACTGAGTGTGCTGGCTTATACCTATAGGAGGGTCACTTCAGCCCAGGAGTTTGAGACCAGCCTAGACAAAATAGCCAGACTCTGTCTCTACAAAAAATAAAACTTAAAAAGCTTGCACTGGTGTGTTAATTTCATATGGTATGTGGGTTTATTGTTTCACATAGAGATTCAAATGGCTTCCAGAGGAAAGACAGAGACAAGCAAATTAAAGCAGAATTTAGAAGAACAGTTGGATAGACTCATGCAGCAATTACAAGATCTGGAGGAATGCAGGTAAGAGTTTAATTGTATGTTGTTACGCTGGAAACTGGCTTTTTTTCTGCAGCTAGCTCCATGGATGCAGGCCCATGTGTGATTCTGCATTTCCCCTGTAGTGTTCTTCACACTGTCTGTTAGAGAAGTAAACTCATTGCAGGCTTTGGAGTCATAAAGGCTGGGAAATGACAGTCATTCAGTTAACTACTAAGTGCATGTGAACTTGAGCAAAATACTTAACCTCCTTGAAGTAGAAATAACACCTACTCTGTCTTTAGTTTTTTTTTTTTTTTTTTTTTTTTTTGAGAAGGAGTCTCGCTCTGTCGCCCAGGCTAGAGTGCCGTGGCCGGATCTCAGCTCACTGCAAGCTCCACCTCCCGGGTTCACGCCATTCTCCTGCCTCAGCCTCCCGAGTAGCTGGGACTACAGGCGCCCGCCACCTCGCCCGGCTAGTTTTTTTTTTTTGTATTTTTAGTAGAGACGGGGTTTCACCATGTTAGCCAGGATGGTCTCGATCTGCTGACCTCGTGATCCACCCGCCTTGGCCTCCCAAAGTGCTGGGATTACAGGCTTGAGCCACCGCGCCCGGCCTGTCTTTAGTATTTAAATCAATCCTGCCTGCTGTCAGGCCAAGAAGGTACTACATGAATTTCTGGCATGTAGTTTCAGCCTTACCTGCACAAAGGACCACAACAGTTCATTGCGGCTTTTTTTTTTGAGAGAGAGAGTCTTGCTGTGTTGCCCAGGCTGGAGTGCAGTGGCGAGATCTCAGATCACTGCAACTTCCGCCTCCTGGTTCAAGCGATTCTCCTGCCTCAGCCTCCCGAGTAGCTGGGATTACAGGAATGCGCCGCCACCCCCCACCAGCTAATTTTTGTATTTTTAGTAGAGGTGGGGTTTTACCATGTTGGCCAGGCTGGCCTCGAACTCCTGACCTCAGGTGATCCACCCACCTCAACCTTCCAAAGTGCTAGGATTACAGGTGTGAGCTAGCACCTGGCCTTATGTGGCTTCTTAAGTATGCTTCAATTTGGTAAAAGAAAAATGTGGCCGGGCGCGGTGGCTCAAGCCTGTAATCCCAGCACTTTGGGAGGCCGAGGCGGGCGGATCACAAGGTCAGGAGATCGAGACCACAGTGAAACCCCGTCTCTACTAAAAATACAAAAAATTAGCCGGGCGCGGTGGCGGGCGCCTGTAGTCCCAGCTACTCAGGAGGCTGAGGCAGGAGAATGGCGGGAACCCGGGAGGCGGAGCTTGCAGTGAGCCGAGATCGCGCCACTGCACTCCAGCCTGGGCAACAGCGTGAGACTCCGTCTCAAAAAAAAAAAAAAAAAAAAAAAAAAAAAAAAAAAAAAAGAAAAATGTTTATCAAAGTCACCATATTGCAGGAAAATGCAATATTTTCCTGCATTTTGAACTGCTATGTGAACACATTCACCGTTAGCATTTTGATATTTCCCTTCAGCCTTTCTCTAATGTACAAGTACTAAGATTGCATTTTTCACTTGGAACTCTGTATTTTTCCATATCATGATGTTCACCTACTTCAGAGAGGAACTCGATACAGATGAATATGAAGAAACCAAAAAGGAAACTCTGGAGCAACTAAGTGAATTTAATGATTCACTGAAGAAAATTATGTCTGGAAATATGACCTTGGTAGATGAACTAAGTGGAATGCAGCTGGTAAGTATAACATATAGGTGACAGAGGACGGACTTTGTTTTCTGGTTTTTGTTTTTGTTGGAGATGCATTCTTTCTCTGTCGCCCAGGCTAGAGTGCAGTGGGGCAGTCTCGGCTCACTGCAGCGTCCGCCTCCCAGGTTCAAGCAATTCTCCTCACTCAGCCTCCAGAGTAGCTGGGATTATGAGCACCCGCCTCCACACCCAGCTAATTTTTGTATTTTTAGTAGAGACGGGGTTTCACCATGTTGGCCAGGCTGGTTTTTGAACTCCTGACCTCAAGTGATCCTCCCACCTCGGCCTCCCAAAGTGCTTGGATTACAGGCATGAGCCACCATGCCCTGCTGGTTCTTTTTTTTTTTTTGAGAGAGGGTCTCTCTGTGTCACCCAGGCTGGAGTGCAGTGACACAATCATGACTCACTACAGCCTTGTTCTTCAGGGCTCAAGTGATCCTCCTGCCTCAGCCTCCCAAAGATTATGGGCATGAACTACCATACCCAGCTTTTTTATAAATATATTTCAAGCTGGGTGTGGTGGTGCCTGCTTATAATCCCAGGTACTCCAGAGGCTGAGGCATGATGCAGGAGGACTGCTTTGAGCCCAGGAGTTCAGGATCAGCCTGGGCAACATAGTGAGACCCCTATCTCTAAATAAAAAATAATAGTAATAATTAAAGTAAGTATATTTCTGATAGAAAATATACCATGTTTTATGTTTTGCATATTCTAGGTGTAACTTCTTTTTTTTTTTTTTTTTTAGAGACAGGGTCACCCAGGCTGGAGTGCAGGGGTGCTATTCACCCCTCAGACTCCCAGGTAGCTGGGACCACAGGCATGCACAACCGTACCTGGCTTTTTTTTTTTTTTTTTCTTTTTTCTTTTTTTTGAGATGGAGTCTCACTCTTGTTGCCCAGGCTGGAGTGCAATGTTGCAATCTCGGCTCACCACAACCTCCACCTCCCAGGTTCAAGTGATTCTCCTTCCTCAGCCTCCTGAGTAGCTGGGATTATAGGCATGTGCCACCACACCTAGCTGATTTTGTATTTTTAGTGGATATGGAGTTTCTCCATGTTGGTCAGGCTGGTCTTGAACTCCCAACCTCAGGTGATCCGTCTGTCTCGGGCTCCCAAAGTGCTGGGATTACGAGTGTGTGCCACTGCACCCAGCCTTTAATTTTTTTTTAGAGATGGGGTCTTGCTGCATTTCCAAGGCTGGTGTCAAACTCATGGGCTCAAGCAATCCTCCTGCCTTGGCCTCCCAAGGTGTAACTTCTAGATGAGTGTCTGCTTATGCATAAACAACATATCCTTCCAGATCTTCATTTAGTTATGTAATTGCTTCTATGACAGGAACCAGTAAACCTTGATAAAGATTAAAGATCCATCAATTAGGCCAGGCGCGGTGGCTCAACCCTGTAATCCCAGCACTTTGGGAGGCCGAGGTGGGCGGATCACGAGGTCAGGAGATCGAGACCATCCTGGCTAACATGGTGAAACCCCGTCTCTACTAAAAATAGAAAAAACTAGCCGGGCGTGGTGGCGGGCGCCTGTAGTCCCAGCTACTCGGGAGGCTGAGGCAGGAGAATGGCGTAAACCCGGGAGGCGGAGCTTGCAGTGAGCCGAGATCGCGCCACTGCACTCCAGCCTGGGTGACACAGCGAGACTCCGTCTCAAAAAAAAAAAAAAGATCCATCAATTAGTTATTGCAATATCTGATTTGTTGGACTGTTTTGGTTAGTTTTTGCCTTCTTCTGTTTCTAGGCTATTCAGGCAGCTATCAGCCAGGCCTTTAAAACCCCAGAGGTCATCAGATTGTTTGCAAAGAAACAACCAGGTCAGCTTCGGACAAGGTTAGCAGAGGTAAAATTTCTTTAAATTGATTTGATTGCTGTGTGTTTTTCATTTCCTAAGCCAATTCATTATGATACCCTATGGCTTAAAAATTGGCCAGGTGATTTTAGAGCCACAACTAACAATTTTCTGACAAAATTAGTACTTTGAGCAATTACAGTTGATAATGAATGTAGAGCTTTAAACAATATATGGCAGTTTAAATTGCCACTGACCACTTCTACCTGGACTCCACCTTTAATGTTTTACCATCTACTTCTAGAGCTCTAACTTAAAATCACATTGAGAATTAATTAGCAGCATTGCTTGTATGCATGTGTGGCCTATCTCATCTAAGAATTTCAAGTGTCTTTGTAAATCTGATACTTCCAGAAGTCTCTTTATAGGCTTGGATGTAATTAAGAGTTACCAAGTGGCCAGGCACGGTGGCTCACGCCTGTAATCCCAGCACTTCGGGAGGCCGAGGTGGGTGGATCACGAGGTCAGGAGATTGAGACCATCCTGGCTAACACGGTGAAACCCCATCTCTACTAAAAATACAAAAAATTAGCCGGGCGTGGTGGTGGGTGCTTGTAGTCCCAGCTACTCGGGAGGCTGAGGCAGGAGAATGGCGTGAACCCGGGAGGCGGAGCTTGCAGTGAGCCGAGATTGCGCCGCTGCACTCCAGCCTGGGCGACAGAGAGACTCCGTCTCAAAAAACAAAAAAGTTACCAAGTTATTTGTAACTATGGGCAATTCAGTAGCATAGTGATTCAGAGCATGGATTTTGGTCAGACTGGCTGGATTTGAATCCCTGCTTCACTACTGAGGTATGTGACAAGTTTTTTATGGGTTTGTTTTTGTTGGTTTTTTTTCTTGAGATGGGGTCTTGTTCTATTGCCCAGGCTGGAGTGCAGTGGTGCAATCTCGGTTCAGTACAACCTCTGCCTCTGGGTTCAAGTGAGTCTCCTGCCTCAACCTCCCAAGTAGCTGGGATTACAGGTGCGTGCCACCATGCCCAGCTAATTTTTGTATTTTTAGTAGAAATGGGGTTTCACATGTTGTCCAGGCTGGTCTTGAACTCCTGACCTCAAGTGATCTGCCCACCTCAGCCTCCCAAAGTGTTGGAATTATAGATGTGAGCCACTGCGCCTAGCCTTTTGTGTGTGTGTGTGTGTGTGTGTGTGTGTATGTGTTTTAAGGCTTTTTTTTTTTTTTTTTTTTTAAGGCAGGGTCTTACTTTGTCACCCAGGCTCAGTGTAGTAGTGTAGTCTTGGCTCACTGCAGCCTCTGTCTCCTGGACTCAAGCGTCTCCCATCACAGCCCCTCAAGTAGCTGGGACCATAGGCACACACCACCACACCAACTAATTTTTGTATTTTTCATAGAGGCAGGGTTTCACCATGTTGGCCAGGATGGTCTCGAACTCCTGAGCTCAAGCAATCCACCCACCTCAGCCTTCTAAAGTGGTGGGATTACAGGCATGAGCCATTGTGCCCACCCTGGACAAGTTATTTTATTCATCCCCTTTGTGCCTAGGTTTCTCTGTCTGTAAAAAGGTGACGATAGTTTCTACCTCTTATGGTAGTTATGAGGATTAAATGAAGTAATATGCATAAAAGTATTTTGAATACGCCCAATGTATAGTACATGCTATTAGTGTTTCTGGTGGAAGTGGTGATATTTTACTAGATAATTTACTAGAACTGCATTTAACATTTCTATCATATTGCCTTGGGTTATTTCTGTAGTTCTTTATAATATTAATCAGCTAGAGGATTTTTTTTTTTTTTTTTTTTTTTTTTCCTGAGATGGAGTCTTGCTCTGTTGCCAGGCTGGAGTGCAGTGGCACGATCTCGGCTCACTGCAGCCTCCGCCTCCTGGGTTCAAGCAATTCTCCTGCCTCAGCCTCCCGAGTAACTGGGACTACAGGTGAGCGCCACTATGCCCAGCTAGTTTTTGTACTTTTTTTTTTTTTTTTTTTGAGATGGAGTCTCGCTCTGTCGCCCGGGCAGGAGTGCAGTGGCCGGATCTCAGCTCACTGCAAGCTCCGCCTCCCGGGTTCTCGCCATTCTCCTGCTCAGCCTCCCGAGTAGGTGGGACTACAGGCGCCCGCCACCTGGCCCGGCTAATTTTTTTGTATTTTTTTAGTAGAGACGGGGTTTCACCGTGTTAGCCAGGATGGTCTCGATCTGTTGACCTTGTGATCCACCCGTCTCGGCCTCCCAAAGTGCTGGGATTACAGGCTTGAGCCACCGCGCCCGGCCGTTTTTGTACTTTTAATAGAGACAAGGTTTCACCATGTTGGCCAGAATGGTCTCAATCTCTTGACCTCATGATCCGCCGACCTTGGCCTCCCAAAGTGCTGGGATTATAGGTGCGAGCCACCTCGCCAGGCGGAGAATTTTTTTTTTTAAGAAGTACGTCTGAGGCCGGGCGCGGTGGCTCAAGCCTGTAATCCCAGCACTTTGGGAGGCCGAGACGGGCGGATCACGAGATCAGGAGATCAAGACCGTCCTGGCTAACACGGTGAAACCCCATCTCTACTAAAAAATACAAAAAACTAGCCGGGCAAGGTGCCAGGCACCTGTAGTCCCAGCTACTCAGGAGGCTGAGGCAGGAGAATGGCGTAAACCCGGGAGGCAGAGCTTGCAGTGAGCTGAGATCCAGCCACTGCGCTCCAGCCTGGGCGACTCAGCAAGACTCCGTCTCAAAAAAAAAAAAAAAAAGAAGTACGTCTGAAAAGTTCTCTCTCTCTCTATATATATATATATATTTTTTTTTTTTCCTATTTTTGAGATGGAGTCTTGCTTTGTCACCCAGGCGGGAGTGCAGTGGTGGGATCTCAGCTCACTGCAAGCTCCGCCTCCTGAGTTCACACCATTCTCCTGCTGCCTTAGCCTCCCGGTAACCTGGGACTACAGGTGCCTGCTACCACGCCCAGCTAATTTTTTTTGTATTTTTAGTAGAGACGGGGTTTCACTGTGTTAGCCAGGATGGTCTCAGTCTCCTGACCTCGTGATCCACCTGCCTCAGCCTCCCAAAGCGCTGGGATTACAGGCGTAAGCCACAGCGCCCAGCCTGAAAAGCTATATATTGTATACGGAATGTTGTTCACTGAAGTAACATATGCCTTGCATTCATGTTTTAGATGGATAGAGATCTGATGGTAGGAAAGCTGGAAAGAGACCTGTACACTCAACAGAAAGTGGAGATACTAACAGCTCTCAGGAAACTTGGAGAGAAGGTACCAGTATTTAATATATTAGGTATAAAGAAAAAGTATGAAGTATTTGGTACAGAGCATCTTGATCTGTGGTCTAGTTTGTGGTCCTAAGACATTCTTTTTTTTTTTTTTTTTTTTTAACTCTCTGAGACAAGAGTTTCGCTCTTATTGCCCAGGCTGGAGTGCAGTGGCACAATCTCAGCTCACTGCAGCCTCCGCCTCCCGGGTTCAAGCAATTATCCTGCCTCAGCCTCCTGAGTAGCTTGTATTACAGGTGCCCGCCACCACACCCAGCTAATTTTTGTATTTTTAGTAGAGACAGGGTTTCACCATGTTGGCCAGGCTGGTCTTCAACTCCTGACCTCAGGTGATCCACCTCCCTCGGCCTCCCAAAATGCTGGGATTACATTGGCCTCCCAAAGTTCTGGGACTGCAGGTGTGAGCCACCGCACCCAGCCCCTACTCAACTTTTTTTTTTTCTTTGAGACAGAATTTTGCTCTTGTTGCCCAGGCTGGAGTGCAGTGGCTCGATCTCTGCTCACTACAACCTCTGCCTCCCAGGTTCAAGCGATTCTACTGCCTCAGCCTCCTGAGTAGCTGGGATTACAGGCACGTGCCACCACACCCAGCTAATTTTTTGTGTTTTTAATAGAAACGGGTTTTCATCACGTTAGCCAGGCTGATCTTGAACTCTTGACCTCAGGTGGTCCACCCGCCTCTGCCTCCCAAAGTGCAGGGATTACAGGCATGAGCCACTGTGCCCAGCCTCCTAAGACATTCTTACCTGGTTTCTAGAACCACCTGTAACATTTACCCACTCAACTGGACTTTGTTTCATTTTGTTTAGCTGACTGCAGATGATGAGGCCTTCTTGTCAGCAAATGCAGGTGCTATACTCAGCCAGTTTGAGAAAGTCTCTACAGACCTTGGTGAGTGCCCTCATATTTCTGAAAGCTAGTCATATACTACTGTCATATATTACATACAAACTGATGGAGAGTGTGGTTGAAATAACATAATAACCTTTTCTTGAGTTTAAGAGTGAAACCAGAATTGTTTTCTTTATAAATCCATTGTATTGGTTTTATTCCCCAGTATTAAAAATAAATTAATGCAGCCTAATGTTTTTAAAATACTTGTCAGGTAGATGTAACTATAACAGTAAACTAAAATTATATGCTTGAGGCCAGGAGTTCTAGACCAGCCTGGGCAACATGGTAAGACCCTTTGTCTTCAAAATTTAAAAAAGACCGAGGCCGGGCGCGGTGGCTCAAGCCTGTAATCCCAGCACTTTGGGAGGCCAAGACAGGCGGATCGTAAGGTCAGGAGATCGAGACCATCCTGGCTAACCCGGTGAAACCCCGTCTCTACTAAAAAATACAAAAAACTAGCCGGGCGAGGTGGCGGGCGCCTGTAGTCCCAGCTACTCGGGAGGCTGAGGCAGGAGAATGGCGTGAACCCGGGAGGCGGAGCTTGCAGTGAGCTGAGATCCGGCCACTGCACTCCAGTCTGGGCAACAGAGCGAGACTCCGTCTCAAAAAAAAAAAAAAAAAAAAAGGCTGGGTGTGGTGGCTCATGCCTGTAATCCCAGCACTTTGGGAGGCCGAGGTAGGTGGATCATGAGGTCAGGAGTTCAAGATCAGTCTGACCAACATGGTGAAACCCCGTCTCTACTAAAAATACAAAAATTAGCAGGGCATAGTGGTGCACGCCTGTAATCCCAGCTACTTGGGAGGCTGAGGCAGGAGAATTGCTTGAACCCAGGAGGCGGAGGTTACAGTGAGCTGAGATCGTGCCACTGCACTCCAGCCTGGGCAGCAGAGCAAGACACCATTTCCAAAAAAAAATAAATAAATAAAAAGGAAAAAAAATAGCTAGGTACCTAGAGTTTTAGCTACTTGAGAAGCTGAGGCAGTAGAATCACTTGAGCCCAGACGTTTAAGGCTGCAGTGAGCCAAGATCATGCCATTGCACTCTAGCCTGGGTGATAGAGCAAGACCTGTCTCCTGCTGAAAAATGTTTTTTCTTTTTTTTTTTTCACAAAAATTTTTTTAAATAAAATTGTATAGCTAGGCACAGTGGCTCAAGCCTGTAATCCCAGCACTTTGGGAGGCTGAGGTGGGTGGATCACCTGAGGTCAGGAGTTCGAGACCAGCCTGGCCAGCAGGGTGAAAATACAAAAATGGGCTGGGCATGGTGGCGTGCACCTGTAATCCTAGCTACTCGGGAGGCTGTAGCAAGGATAACTGCTTGAACCTAGGCGGTGGAGGTTGCAGTGAGCCAAATTGTACCGCTGCACTCCAGCCTGGGTGACAAGAGTGAAACTCCATCTCAAAAATAAAAATAAACTAAATTTTACATATTATATTTCACAGCTAGAATAAGGATTTATAACTAATAAGTCTGCTTTTGTAGCTGGATTGTTTGTGCAGAGGGAAGGAACATGTAGGAGTTAAATACACTGATAATGGAGTCTAATTATATTTTCTGTTTTAGTATCTATATGATAGATTTTTTCCCCCCACTTTACCAGGAATTGTATCTGCACTTGAAATAATCTTTTTGTTTATTATGTGTCTTTTTTCTTAGGCTCTGGAGACAAAATCCTTGCTCTGGCAAGTTTTGAGGTTGAAAAAACAAAAAAATGACATGGTGCAGAAGCTTATAACATTGATCACATTCTTACTGTAAATGGTGTCTTTCTTCTGGGGGTTTTCAGTTATTGCAAAGAAATGAAGAGATTCTGGAAATGCATCAATAATCTAAGAAAAAGCGACATAAAAATATACTTATGGCTTGTGTTTATGCTCTTTATCATTGTGCGTTGTGTGGGGTTACTTGCTTGAGTGATCCTGAACTTCTTGCAACAGAGGGACTCACTGGACTCTGTTATGATTTGTCTGTTTAAGAGAGAAAACAGAAAGTGGACTTGGTTTTTATTAAGACTGTTCGTTTTTAAGTGTCGATAGTGAATGAAAAGATGTGAAGTAATGATATTTTTCTGCTTATAACTTACCCCCACTCATTGGAGTGAACAGTGAAGCAAGCTCAATAGACTTCATAAGTGTTCAGAGAATTTTAGAGTTCTGAGTGATCTTAGGAAATCATTTGTTTTTACAAACAAGGAAACTGAGGTCCAGAAAGAGCACGCGACTTGCTTAAAGTTGCATCAGAGAGCTAAGGGTAAGACTCAGGTGTCCTGACTCCCAGTTTAGTGTCTGTTGAATTTTATTTCTGTACCATTTAAAAAATAATAATTAACACTATTTGTGCAAGTCAGTGTTTTTGAAAATTCAGTGTCCCAATAAAAAGTTGACTGCACACTGAGGGACCATCCCCAGCCTGTAAGCTGTCTGTATGAATGGGGCCCGTTGTATCTCGGAATTTTGAGGTTGAAACAATGGGAGCCCTGTTGAGCGTCTCCTAAAGTGACTCAACCGCCTGCGTTGTTTCACCAGGGAAGCAATAGGAAATGGCAGCTAGAGGCCCTCCCTCTGTGTGACCTCTTGTCACACTCAGAGGCGGGTAACTGTCAGCTGTTATCTACTCTTCAGGTTTTGGAGAAACACAAAATAAGTTATGAGGAAAAGCAAATTTCTCTCCTGAGTATTTACATGTCTCTGCGTATGCTCAAATATGTAGATGTGTCCATATGCATGTATATTAGCTTATTTCTTAGGCTCTGGCCATTTTATATTATTTCATGTGCTTCTAAAAATTCTTTTTCTTTGCACTTTATACAAATTAAAAGCATTTTTAAAGCTTCTTCTGTACTGTAAAATACTAGGTGCTTTGCCAACCAGACAGATTAGAAGACCTCTGCTACAATGATGCCTTATTTGGAACTTAAAAGAGGTGAAATTCATATATCATAAAATTCACCATTTTAAAGTGTACCATTCACTGGCAGAACATTTACAGTGGTGTGCAACCATCACTGCTCTCTAGTTCCAGAACATTCTTATCACCCCCAAAGGAGGCCCTATACCTATTAGGCAGTTACTCCCCATGCCCTTCTTCTCTGACTGCTAACAATAGCCACTAATCTGCCCCCTGTTTCTATGGATTTACCTATTCTGGATATTTCATATAAATGGAAGTATATGATATGTGACCTTTTTATGTATCTGGCTTCTTTCACTTAGCGTAATATTTTCTTTTCTTTTTTTTTTTTTTTTTTTTGGTTTGTTTTTTTTGAGACAGAGTTTCACTCTTATTGTCCAGGCTGGAGTGCAATGGTTCAATCTCAACCTCTGCCTCCCAGGTTCAAGAGATTCTCCTTCCTCAGCCTCCCAAGTAGCTGGGATTACTGGTGTGTACCACCATGCTTGGCTAATTTTTATACTTTTAGTAGAGACAGGGTTTCACCATGTTGGCCAGGCTGGTCTTGAACTGACCTCAGGTGTTCCACCCGCCTCGGCCTCCCAAAGTGCTGGAATTACAGGTGTGAATGACCACGCCCAGACATCATCATATTTTCAAGGTTAATCAACATTATAGCATGTATCACTACTTTATTCCTTTTTATGGCTAAATTATATTCTGTTGTATGGATATCATATTTTGTTTATCCGGTATCTGTTGATGATATGGGTTGTTTCCTTCTTTTGGCTATTGTGAATAATGCTTCAATGAACATTTGTGTACAAATATTTGTTTGAATACCTGTTTTCAATTCTTTTGGGTGTATACGTAGGAATGGAATTGCTATGTCTGTTGTTGTGTTGTTTTTTGAGATAGAGTTTCACTCTGTTGCCCAGGCTGGAATGCAATGGCGTGATCTCGGCTCACCACAACTTCTGCCTCCCAGGTTCAAGCGATTCTCCTGCCTCAGCCTCCCAAGTAGCTGGGATTACAGGCATGTGCCACCACGCCCAGCTAATTTTGTATTTTTAGTAGAAATGGGGTTTCTCCATGTTGGTCAGGCTGGTCTTGAACTCCTGACCTTAGGTGATCCACCTGCCTCAGCCTCCCAAAGTGCTGGGATGATTACAGGCGTGAGCCACAGTGCCTGGCCTGAGCCACCACACCCAGCCTATGTTTGTTTTTTAAGCCATAGAAGATTTCTCACCACCAGCCAGGGACAGTGGCTCACGTCTGTAATCCCAGCACTTTGGGAGGCTGAGGTGGGCAGATCACAAGATCAGGAGCTCAAGACCAGCCTGGCCAACATAGTGAAACCCCCATCTCTACAAAAATACAAAAATTAGCCAGGCATAGTGGCGGGTTCCTGTAATCTCAGCTACTTGGGAGGCTGAGGCAGGAGAATCACTTGAACCTGGGAGGCAGAGGTTTCAGTGAGCCGAGATCGCGCCACTGCACTTCAGCCTGGGCGACAGACCGAGACGCGGTCTCAAAAAAAAAGGAAGAAGATTCTTCCCCTCCCCTGCAATAGTAGATCAGGAAAATTAGGAATATCATGTATTTGAAAGGGACCTAAGGCCTGGCACAGTGGCTCACGCATGTAATCCCAGAATTCTGGGAGGCAGAGGTGGGCAGATCGCCTGAACTCAGGATTTGAGACCAGCCTGGCCAACATGGTGAAACCCTGTCTCTAAAAAAAATATAAAAATTAGCCAGACATGATGGCATGCACTTGTGATGTCCCAGCTACTCAGGAGACTGAGGTGGGAGGATCACTTGAACCTGGGAGGCAGAGGTTGTAGTGAACTGAGATCACGCCACTGTACTCCAACCTGGGTGACAAAGTGAAACCCCTGTCTAAAAAAAAGATAAAGAGACATCTGAATCTGGAATCCTTAATCTTGGTTTTCCTTAAACTTTCTATAAGTCCAGTGTCAGTGAAATATTTTGTCAATTATCACATTGTGTTCATTTTGTAAGTAACAGCACTCAATTTAAAATTATCTTACTTTAGGCCGGGCGCAGTGGCTCAAGCCTGTAATCCCAGCACTTTGGGAGGCCAAGATGGGCGGATCACGAGGTCAGGAGATCGAGACCCTCCTGGCTAACACGGTGAAACCCCGTCTCTACTAAAAAATACAAAAAGCTAGCCAGGCGAGGTGGCAGGCGCCTGTAGTCCCAGCTACTCGGGAGGCTGAGGCAGGAGAATGGCGCAAACCCGGGAGGCGGAGCTTGCAGTGAGCTGAGATCCGGCCACTGCACTCCAGCCTGGGCGACAGAGCGAGACTCCGTCTCAAAAAAAATAAAATAAAATAAAATAAAATTATCTTACTTTAAAAGTGGCCTAGTTTGCAGTGCCCAACAGGACACTGATAGTCATAGCTGTGTGACCTTTTGTGGGTTACTTAATCTTTTTGAGCCTCCTTTTCTCTTCTATTCAGTGGGGATAATAGGGCCTATGTCATAGGATTATTGTGCATTCCCCTCTGTTAATGCAGATAAAGTTTACTTGGAAAGCTAACTCAACATGTAACAACCATTCTAAGCACCACAGGATATATTTTGTTTCACAAATTTGGTATTCATTCAGAATAAGTATTTGAAAAGTGAGTAAATTCTATGCAATTATAGTTATTAAATGACTTAACAAACTGTGTTTCTCTTCTACTTCTTGCTACATTTAATCTTCTAGGTGTTCAGATCTTTGGAGATTATAGGCAGCAATAATGCTAAGGCAGCTAACTTTTCAACATTCTTGTGTCAGGCTAATATTTTAAAAATAATTATTGTATTTCTCAAAGAACTAGAGCTGAAGCAGAAATAAGTTCTGATGTGCAAGTGTCCAATTGGACCATTGAATGAAATCTAGTGTTTTAAACAACTCTGATGTTTCAATGTTTTGTTTTGTTTTCTTTTGATCCTGTGAGCAGTAAGACATATTTTATGTGGGTGGTAAAGGAAGAAATCGAGTAACAGAATGAGGAATTGTTCCCAGGAAGAGTTGGAGTTGGGACAAATGGGTTGTTAACTTTGATTTTTAGATCTCCTCTGAAGACATTAAACATGGAATGGTCATCTTTAGAAAAATAAAAGACTATGCAACTCCACCACTGAAATGGTATCTTATTACAGTGAATGATGGATAATTTGAAATTATCACAGAAAAAAATAAACCCAGACCATTTTGCCTAGAGCCTTTCAACCACCTTCCTGTCCATGTTTTTCTTTTTTATTATATTTATTGCTAAGACCAGTGAACCAGTGAATATTCTTCTTTGCCTCCCAAAATGTTTTCCAGCATTAGTATGTATATTAAAACTGTCGGCTGAGCGCCGTGGCTCACGCCTCTAATCCCAGCACTTTGGTAGGCCAAGGCGGACAGATCACAAGGTCAGGAGTTCAAGACCAGCCTGGCCAATATGGTGAAACCCCGTCTCTACTAAAAATACAAAAGTTATCCAGGTGTGGTGGCATGTGCCTGTAATCTCAGCTACTCAGGAGGCTGAGGCAGGAGAATCACTTGAACCTGGGAGGCAGAAGTTGTAATGAGCCGAGATCTTACCACTGCACTCCAGCCTGGGCAACAGAGGAGACTCTGTCTCAAAAAAAAAAAAAAAGAGTTCACAATGGAAAGTCGATACTGTTGCAGAGCTTCAGCAAAGTGGAGAGGTCTGAGGCTGTCAACTGGAAGCTTCCTAAATGCTTGGTTATTTTTCTACCAGGAGATCACACTGCTTACTGCTTACAGCCTCAGGCAGTTGAATACAATTAAAAATAAATCAGCAAAAATATCATTTATTATAAAAGAAGTCAAGGAGAGCCATCAAGTTTTTCTGTCTGTTTTTTAGAATGAAGATAATGCTGGTAAGGGTTTTTGTTTGTTTTTGTTTTGTTTTGTTTTTTTGGGTTTTTTTGAGACGGAGTTTCATACTTGTTGCCCAGGCTGGAGTGCAATGGCACAATCTCGGCTCACCACAACCTCCACCTCCCGGGTACAAGCGATTCTCCTGCCTCAGTCTCCCGAGTAGCTGAGATTACAGGCGTGCGCCACCACGTCCAGCTAATTTTTTTTTTGTATTTTTAGTAGAGATGGGGTTTCTCCACGTTGGCCAGGCTGGTCTCAGACTCCCGACCTCAGATGATCTGCCCGCCTCGGCCTCCCAAAGTGCTGGGATTACAGGCGTGAGCCACTGCGCCCGGTGGTAAGGGTTATTTCTGAGATTATACATCAGCGAGGGATCCTCTGCCTCAGTCTCTGGTGACTGTAACTGAACTTTTGAAGCCCCCTGCAAAACCCTCTGCTGAGCTGTTACAGTTATGAGTTAAATAGGTTTGACAGTTTCTGCTACCTTGTCTATTTCCTATAAAACATCTTAGCAGGTCAGGTACTATTTTTTTGTCACCACTAAATTGTCATATTACATGAGGCTATTCTTTACTACTAAAGGAGCTTAATTTTGTTTTTTTGTTGTTGTTTTTTCCCCAACATTATTCCTTCAGTACTCATTAACCAGGCCAAATTGAAAACTGAGCCAGCCTGGGCAATGTGGCAGAACGCCATCTCTACAAAATAATACAAAAATTAGGCCGGGCATGGTGGCTCACGCCTATAATCCCAGCACTTGGGGAGGCTGAGGCGGGTGGATCATGAGGTCAGGAGATGGAGACCATTCTGGCTAACACGATGAAAGCCCATCTCTAGTAAAAATACAAAAAATTAGCCAGGCGTGGTGGCACGCACCTATAGTCCCAGCTACTCGGGAGGCTGAGGCAGGAGAATAGCTTGAACCCAGGAGGTGGAGGTTGCAATGAGCCGAGATCATGCCATTGCACTCTAGCCTAGGCAACAGAGCGAGACTCCATCTCAAAAAAACACAAAAATCAGCTGGGCGTGCTAGTG